GCCTGAGCCGAAGAGAAAGGGAAAACAGATAGCTTTGGCAGCTGATGAGGAGAAAGCTGAGGCCACGGTTGAAAGAGAAGCCGCACCAGAACCTGCTGCTGAGTGTGCTCAAGAGGCAAAGAAGGAGCCAAAAGCCGAGTTTGAACAAGATCACTGACCCACTACTAGAGAGTACTTGGACCAGTTTAAAAAGGCACAAGTGGCTCAAGGTTGATTCCCTGATATTCTCGATGATGTTAAGCTCATTTTCCAAAATATGGGTTTAACATCATTCTTTGAGATGAGAGACGTTGCCTATGAAGGGATCACCCAACAGTTCTCGGCTTCTTTGGACGTGTTCATCTACCCCAAGAGAGACCCCAAGCGATTACATGGGAGAGGCTTTGGACACATTGAGTTCGAAATGGATGGAGTCAGTTCTAAAGTGAGCTTCAAAGAGATTGATGAGATCTTTGGCTTTGTGAGGAATGAAAGCTCTATGAAGAAGTTTGTGTACCCCAAAGAAGAGATTGCTGCTCTGCCCCCATAGAGCTGAAAGTTATGGGCAACAGAAGATGTACCTGTCTCGCTTCCATTCTAGACCGATCTGATGTGCTTCAAAGATTGCTTAGGACAATGCCCTTCCTTTCCAATTCAGTTTCCGAGGCCTTCATCAAGATTCAAGAACTTAGAGTCTTCTTTCCATAACGTTAGAGATCAACCGATTTGGTGATCCGAGCTGGGAGATAAAATAATTGGAGAGAACACAAGTTTAGAAGCCTTTTCTGGATTATTCCGGTGCACTGCAAGGACGCCGTCCGGGAGACCTTCCTCTACCCAGATACGATTGAGTTCTTCACAAAATTTGGAGCTGAAAGATACTGGAAGCGGAAGACAGGCATGTCAATTCGGGTTTCAAGGAATGCATTTATGCTAAGTGTTTTTGGACACCTCGACATGGGCACCTCAGTATGGCTATACCGAGGCTGTTTTTTGCGAGAGTTTTGGTCAAGACCTCGACCATTTACCTCACCCTAATCCATGCCGAGGCATCCCTTGTAAAGAAATGATCCCTGAAACGACTAAGTGTCAAAGGCTGAGCATTTACAAGTTTAAGCGAATTTGACTAAGTGTCAAGACTGACCTCGATTTGGATACGTCAATACAGTAGGCCTAGGTGTTTTTTACGAAACAAAAGTGTAAAAACCTCGACCATTCACCTCGCCCTAAACCAGCCGAGTGATAACACCGGATTTTGACCATTTTTATGGATCATTTTAATATCTTTTACAGGTGTTTTTACTCCATTTTCAAAGGTTTTCAAAGGATTTCTATGTTTCCGGATTTTAAAAGACTTTTCAGGTAATTTGGGATAAAGAGGCACAAAATGCAACAAAAAGACTCTTTTGGATAAATGCAGACCGTCAGAACTCTAATGGAGAGACGAAGACCTTCTCACCGTCTGATCACCCTCAAAATTGGACAACTTAGAGAAGAATCAACCAGCTTTCAATTGCACTTGGTTTGGAGACATTCCAACGGTTAGAGCTCAAGATATTCCATTAGCCCCGGAGCCACGCGGAGTCGGCCATCAACTCACGCGACCGCAGAAAACAAGCTATTTGCCGCGGTCAGAAGCTTCCCGACCGCGGCCAACAAGCCAATTGCCACGGTCACAACACTCCCGACTGCGGCATTCAAGCTCCGACTTAAAGCCCACTTATCTGAAGCCCAAAGTCATTCCCAGCCTAAATTCCGGAACCCTAGAGACCATGGAGTATTGGAGACTATAAATACACGTCATTTAGGTCGTTTTTAGAGAGAGCTTTTCATACTTTACAGAAACCCTTTTTCTTTAGCTGTTTTTATGAGAGTTTTGTAGAAGATTGTTCAAGTCCGAGTTCTTCAATAGAGAAGCTTTCTTTATCTCTTTTCTTTACTGTTTTTCATTACTTTTAATAAAACCAATGATGATGTCGAACTCAGCCATGTCTGAGTAGATCCGGAGTTGGGCTTAGGGTTCCCGAAAGGGGCTCTCATAATCGATTAAGACATCTAGGTTTATAGATCTGGGATTTCGACATGTTCTCTGTTTATTCTTGTTCTTATTGCATGTATGCTTGATTGATCACCTAGTATCTGATCTAGATAGTTAGTGTTGCGAAAGTTTTCATTAAGTATCAGCCCTAGAATGAAACAGGCGATTTTTCCGTAGGAGTGGAAACCTACCTGCGGCGAGATCGTGAGTATTGACGAGTCTTGTGCAGCTCTTGCGTTCTCTCCCTTCCAGGGCCAGAGTGGAAACCTACTGGTCAGGGTTGCGAGAAACAGTTGGTTATGATCACGACAGTGACGTAGTCATCCCGCCGTACTCTAGCTCTAGAACCCATATATTGTTATCCGTCAATCCCAATCTATCTACCTTAGTGTTAAAACCGATTATGATCCCTTAGAGTTCCCAAAAGCTCAGCGTTTTTAGCCATAGTTTACAATTTCCATCGATTTTTACTTGTTTTCTTAGACCTGCATTTCATTTTCCTTAGTTCGTTATTTACTTGCTTTATTTACTTTTCATGCGATATTTTACTTGCCTTATTTTTGTTTAGTTAGATATTTTACTTATTCATTTGCATTTCATTCGATTTTTTTACCTGCTTTTTAGGATAGATTTATTTGCTTTCTTTTGTTTTAGTTTAATTCGCAAGAAAAAACAACCAACCTTTAAAACCAATTTAGTCTAGACATAAAGTTAAAAACCAAAGAAGAATACCAGGCACACAAATCTCTGTGGATTCGATCCCTAAATACTACAACTGATTAGCTGTGCACTTGCGGCTTTCATTTGTTTTGTTAAGGGTAAAACTTGTTCCCTCACGTAGTTGACACGAGCACGCATCACCGAAGCATTCCTTTTGAAGACACAAGCTTGGAAACGACTAAGTGTCATAATCAGCCTCGGACAAAACGCCTCGGTACGGTAAGCCGAGGTGAACATATCCGAATGAAAGGGCAACAACCTCGACCTAAGACCTCGTCATGAGACATATCGAGGCCTCTTGTCACACATTCTATTTCACAACCAACTTGCTCCAACGGTCAGATTCAAGGAAAGATCAAAGCCAAAGATTTATGCAAGTTCTTGATGTGTTATTCACTTCTCAGCCCAGATTATATGGGACCTCGCCATACACCTCGGCATAGAACCTTCCAAGCCGAGGTATTCACCCAGCAACCCAAGAAGACCGGGTCGGTACCCGGTTATTTCTTGGTCGACCCGGTTCAATGACCCCTTCTATAAATAGTTTTTGGGACCAAAAACCCTACTTATCCTTTTATCTATTTTGAGAACTTGCCTCTTTTGTGAAAAACTTGGTTCCTAAGAGATATCTCGTTTTTAATCTTAAAAGTCTTGTTCTTATCATTTCTTTTCATCAAATCAAGCTTCTAATCATAATTAACATTACCTCTTGCAAAGGAAATGGTGTGTTCATCATGATTAGTGACTAGTCTTCTCATAAGGTCTTAGATAGGTAGATTAGGGTGCAAAGATGTTAGATTAGGGAGTTTAGGAGTTAGATCATGCACCTTCCATTCTCTAATTATCTGTTTTTAAAGCTAGATCCCTGATAATCACTTGGGTCTAGATCATAGGCATTTCATGCACCAAAAGTGTTTGATGAAATGCTTGAACCAAGATAATTAGAGGTTTTTTGCTTTGTTCATCATGGAAATGATTGTTTAATGCATAAATGACATTTTAGAACTGAATCATAATGCTCATTGATTCATATTTCACAAATTGGAATTTGGTTTGAAAGAGGTAAATACCTTAATGAGAGGATTAATCTAATGTTGAGTTCTAAGTTAAATGGTTTTGTGTGATTGTTGTTCATTAGCTCCCTAGTTTGGCATTGATGCACCCTAATCCAATATCCTGTCTAAGGCCTTTGTTTCATCATCTTTCATCCTTCATTATCTTGTTATTTGTTTGTCTTTGTTTGCTTTGTTTATCTATTTAGTCTTGTCTTATTCTAGTTTAGTTTGCTTGTTAACATATTTGAAACCAAAAACTGTCTATTTTGATTGAATTAAATCTGAACTTATATGCACTAGTGCCTAATCTCACCCATTATGGATTGATACCCTTTATACTACTTTGATAAGGAGATTGATAACCCAAAGAGTCCCAAAACTCCTATTTATCAATTGGCGCCTTTGCCATTTGGGTGATTGTTTAGCATTAGTTACTGAGTTCATTTTGAGACCAAGTTTTTATTTTATTTTTTACTGCTCAAACCTACAAGTGCTGAAGTTTCAGGTTTATGTCACATAGACCAAGGACTAGCAGCAGAAGTATTGAGCCAGCTGAACCATTCATTGACAATATCCACTTACTGGATAGAAGATCAAGAAGACCAAGAGAAGAAGGCCAAGCAAAGGGTATGGAACAGCATGTAGAACAAGCTGAGCACCAGGCTCAAGTGAATCAAGCTCAGGCTGATAGGAATGAACAGCTGGCGTTTGTTAACCAGAATATGGCATAAAGGAACGAACGCCAAGCTCAAGTGAATCAGCAGCAAGCGGGTAGGAATGAGCAGCAGGCTCACAACAATCTGCAGCCACAACCACAACCTCCAAGGCGACGAGAGCCTCCACCAGTCTTTGTTGGAGAAAATGACCGAGCCAATGCACACCAATACAGGGCTGGAATCCAAGCACCTCCATTCCAAAACAACAACTTTGAGGTGAAGTCATCATTGCTTAACATGGTTCAGAATTCAAATTTCCATGGACTACCTATGGAGGATCCACTTGAGCACTTGGATCAGTTTGACCGAGTGTGTGATCTGACTAAGATCAATGGAGTTTCAGAAGATAACTTCCAGCTAAGGTTGTTCCCTTTCAGCTTGGGAGACAAAGCTCATCAGTGGGAGAAGAACTTACCAAGGGGATCAATTCAAACTTGGGAACAATGCAAGTTGGCCTTCTTATCTAAGTTTTTCTCCACCTCAAGGACAGCCAAGTTGAGGAACCAGATCTCAAACTTTACCCAGTACAACAATGAAAGCTTTGGGGAAGCATGAAAGAGTTTTAGAAGCTATACAAACCAATGTCCCCATCGTCGTTTTTATGAGGCTTCACTCTTGAGTACCTTGTATAGAGGAGCTCTCCCAAAGATAAGGAATCAGTTGGATGCAGCTTCAAATGGAAATTTTTTGGGTAAAGAGATAAATGCTGTTATGGAACTTGTGGATAACTTATCCATGAGTAATGATACTTATGGGGAGGATTTTGATAGAGCAAACAGAATGAGGGCTCAAGTAAAGAGCAGAGAATGGAGAAAGACATTAGGGAGCTGCAGAGTAAACTTGAAAATGTTTTAGTGGCAACTCAGAAGCTACTACACTTTGTGGGTGAATTTGATGATCAGTCTCCAAGTTTTGAAAATGTCAATGAAGAAGGTCTTACACAAGAGGAGATGAACTACATTGGGAATCAGAACAGGTTTCAAAGGTACAATAACTTCAACACCAACCAGAACCTGTCCTATAGAAGCACTAATGTAGCAAACCCTCAAGACCAAGTCTACCCTCCTCAACAAGGTCAACAGAGCTTTGTTCCCAAAAATCAATTTCAAAGGAACTATCAGTCCAAGCAGCAATTTGTACAACAGCCACAAGGGTATAGTCAGCAGCAGCCGCAGATTCAGGGTAACGGCTTCACCAGCCAGCCGCAGCAACACATGTATCCACCAGGGTTTGGACAACAGCAGCTGAGTCAGCCACAGTCAGTTCAGCAACATCAGATGGGTTCTGATTTGTGTTGAGTGTTCCAGCAGCTTCTAAAAGGTCAACAAAGGGTTGAAAGTAATTTCTCTGATTTGAGTTCAAAATATGAGGCTATGCAACAAAAGATCAAGGAGTTAAGGAAAAATCAAGCCTTTTCCTCAACACAACAAGGCACTTTACCTGGTAAACCTGAGCCTAACCCAAAAGAGTATTACAATGCCATAACTCTTAGAAGTGGAAAGGAGTTACCAGAGAGAGAACCTAGACAAGTGCTCATTGAGGATAATGAGAAAGTTGGTGGGGAGACAGCTTAAAGGAGTGAGCAAGAAGATCAAGTTGCAAATAGTGATAAGAGCAAAGAGGTAGAAACAGATGTGATGCCTGAGAAACCATATGTTCTACCACCACCATACCAGCCTAGACTTCCATTTCCAGGGAGGTTTAAGAAGCAAATATTGGAGAAAGCTAGAGCTGTGTTTGATAAGCAGCTAAGAGAGACCAACTTTACAGTTCCAATTATAGAAGCATTCTTTATGATCCCACAACTTGGAAAGCTTTTGAATGATGCTATCTTGAACAGATCAAAGGAGCTTCAAGGTATGGTTAATCTAAGCCATGAATGTCGTGCTATAATTCAAAGGAGTACAATCCCAAGGAAGATTTCTCATCCAGGGAGCTTCACTCTACCTTGCACCATTGGTCATTTAAAGTTTTCTGGTTGTCTTTGTGATCTTGGAGCTTCAGCAAGTCTAATGTCGTTCTCAGTTGCACAAAGGTTGGGTTACAGAGTGTTCAATCCAGCCAAGATATCATTGATACTAGCTGATAGATCAGTGAGGCTTCCCATAGGTTTACTTGAAGATCTACCTGTTAAGGTAGGAGGCTTTGAAGTCCCCACTGACTTCATTGTCTTAGAAATGGATGAGGAACCAGTTGATCCACTTATCTTGGGTAGACCTTTCCTTGCAACAGCAGGAGCAATCATTGATGTAAGAGGTGGAACGATTGAGTTGCACCTTGGATCAAAAACTCTTTAAGTTTTATGTAAAGAAAATGATGAAGAAGCCAACTATAGAAGGACAGATCTTCTTTATTGAAACTATGGAGGAGCTTGCTGATGAGCTTCTTGAAGAGTTGAATACTGAAGATCCTCTTCAATTTGCCTTGACCAAAGAACATGGTGAACATGGGTTCTTAGCTGAGGAAAATGAGGCTTACAAGATGGTTTTGGATCAGTACAAGGAAGTGTGTTAAGAAACTGAGTTTTCGGAGCTGGAAACAAGCATCCTTGAGGGTCAGTGTATCAGTGGTTCAAGCAAGTCATGGACCAGTTCATCAGTGTATGGCCGTGGGTATGGAGGGTGAGTAGGAGACCAAGCCAGCTGATGAAATTAACACCAAATAAGCTCCAGCTGAGCAAGACAGCTTCATGGCCGATTGGGATGAGACCAAAAACCCTCCCTGTTGAGCTCACACTACAAGAAAAACACGGTTTTTCAACGGCCAAAACCGTCGTAAGTTCGTTGTAACAGCCCTATTACGACGAACTAGTGACGGTTTTGAAATCGTCGTAAAACCGGTCTTCGGTTGGAGGCTTCCGCCGCCTGATCCCCGGGTCTTCGGCTGGAGGCTTCCGACGTAACATCGACGTAAAAAGATCGTCGTAAACGCGTCGTAAGGCTTACGACGACTTTACATCGATTCGCCTCGATTTTGTATTCAGCGTAATCGTCGTAAAGTTGTCGTTAAGAACCAACGTAGGTTCGTCGTATAATATACGACGAAAGATTCGTCGTAATTCGATCGTAAATGTTTTTTTCTACTCGTCGTAAAACCGTCGTAAAACTCGGACGTCTATTCGTCATATTAAACGTCGTATAATATATATATTACGACGATTATACGACATTTTTTATAAATGAAATTAAAAATATATATATTTTATCCGAATTAAAATTTAAATAAAAAAAGAAATAATTTAAATTTAAAATTTTAATTAAAATTTAAAATAAAAAATTATAATAATTACAAAAAAACCTAAAGATCTAAACCTAAACTAATGTCGTCGATCCTCTCATCGTCCTGCTCCGGATCTCCATCCTGCTCCACATGTTCCTTGCCGGGTCTTCGGTTGGAGGCTTCCGCCGCCTGATCCCCGGGTCTTCGGCTGGAGGCTTCCGACGCCTGATCTCCGGCTCTAGGAGGATCAACCCCGAGAGATCGGAACATCTCCTCGTCCGTTTGCACCGGTGGTTGCCTCCTAGAAGATGAAGAAGATGACCCGACAACTCCAGCTGCCCGCAACACGTCCAACTGCGCCATGAGCAACGGGTTGTCGGCCCCCATAATCTCGAAGAGACCATACAACTAGTCGATCTTCGTCTCATACTGAGTCCGCATCTGATGGATCTTCTGGCGGATAAGCGGATCCTCTGCCCGGACATGACCAGTCGCCATAGCGACTGGGGTATCACGGATGGATCTCATCCCTAAAACCCGGCCCTTCTTCTTAGGGGCAACCTGAAAATATGTAGAAAACTTATGTAAAAAAGTACAATATAAAATTAAAATTAAACTGAATAGGAAAAAGAATACACTTACCTCTTCGAAGATCTGGTCCATCTCCGCCACCGTCAGCGTCGGGGTGGATTGGACCGAGCTACCTCCAGGAGACGTCGGAGGCGCCTGCTGAGTGAACTGCATCTACCGCTCCTCGATCCGCGCACAGGTGGCGTTGTAGATCTCCTCCGCCCGAGGATCCGTGAATTCGCCGTTCTTCTTCTTATGGGTCTCGGCGAAAACCTTCGTCATCGGAGGAAGTTCTCCCCCGTTTTCTTCGACCTACAAAATCAAAGTGAAATTATTAATAAGACAAATAAGAGTTATTTAAAAACAAAAACTCGTTAATAAAATTTACCATCATAAGTCGTCTCCTGGCGAAAGGAATCTGACCGGAAGTGTGCGGGACATTTTTTCGATTTCTCGCATCATCAGTAGCGTTCCTGAAAAATATAGTAATTAGAATTGAATTAATTAAACCTATATTCTATTATAATTTAAACATATCAAAAATATCTGGATGTGGAACACTTGGCGGCAATAGTGTGGTTGTGCAGGGTCAACCAATGTTGCACCAAACCATCCTAGACGGTATCGGCTATTGGCGCCAGCTTGGCCTTGTTGCCGTCGACCTCCCACTTCCGCTTCCAGTCGGAAACGGTGTTGTTGAGGCGGAACTTGACCTTCTCTTTGAAGGCCTCCTCCACACGTCCGTGTGCGAAAGTTTTCCAATGCCAGTTTTGCTAGAAAAAAAAAACAAAGAGTTAGTAATTATTGTAAAAAATAAAAAAATAATAATATAAATCGTAATTTTAAATAACTTACAGCGAAACACTTGAACCAAGTGTTAATAGTTGCCTGATCCAGCTTCTTCCAGCTGGTATGGGGTTGTACGAAAAACCCCTTGATGATGTCGGGGCTGTATCGGGGCTGCGGCTGGTGCTGGGGCTGCTGGTTCGGCTGGTGGTGGTGGAGGCGGTGCAGGCTGTGGTACAACGACCGGTTGTGAAACCGTTCGTTGTGTTCCCGAGGACTCCGGGATGGCGGACCCTGTAGTTGAGGCGGACGGAGCGGTACCGTCCGGATCTACCATCTCCCGGTAGTGGAACATCTTTGTCTGGGGAGCCATCTGAATAATCTACAAAATTAAATGAAATATAATTACTAATTATGTAATTTATTTCTAAATTCCGGGCCTATCTAAATTCCGAATCTAACTAATTTCCCTAATTATATCTATCTAAAGAATAAAATTTAAACGAAATGTAAATTATAATAAAAATTTTTTTAAAAAAACTTACAAATTAAGGCTGGAGAGGAGGGAGAGGAGGGAGAGGAGGGAGAGGAGGGAGAGGAGGGAGAGGAGGGAGAGCTAGAGAGAGAGAGAGAAGTGAGGGATGAGAGACGAAGGAGGAAAACTCGCGTCCCTTATATAGATTTTGTGATCGTCGTACAATCGTCGTAACGTTACGACGATTTTACGATGATTTGGTTGTATAACCATCGTACCAGTGCATGACAAGACATGTGTCCTGTTCACAGCGTTTGAGAATTACGACGGTTTTACGACGAATGTTCATTAAACCATCGTAAAACCGTCGTAATAGGTCAATATTTATAGCCTCATACCTCGGATCTGGAGCCAATCCGGCGGCTGTTAGTTGTATGATCGTCATCAACGTTACGATGGTGTAATGAACATTCGTCGTAAAACCGTCGTAATATTACGACCCTTGTACGACGGTTTTACGATATTTTTTAAAGAAATTATCAAACCCTAAATCTTTCAAAAGGCTTATTGCATAAAGGACAACACGAAGCTTATTTTATACTAACATATAACAATAGGTTCATAACTTTACATGTATGACAGATTTTGTACATGAGATAACAAATATTTAAATCATCGTATGTAATATATAACCTTTTACTTAACATTTACAAAAACATGCATGAACTTGTAAATATGTATGTTTTTATCAAATTTTTGATTTTGATCATATTGAATACTTTTCATATAAAATAAGATAACCTATCAAAAACATTTGGGAAATAGCTAAAAACCAATCAGATATAAAAGATTTAAAATCTTAGATTTCAAGCTTACGACGATTTTACGATGGTTTCGTGAACGCTACGACGATTTTACGACGGATGGTCGTAAAGTCGTCGTAATACTTAAACCCTATTCATTCATGGTATAAGACCTAAACTTGGGGTTTAGGATTTACAAAAATTGTCGTAAAATTGATATTTTTATCATTAAAAAAAATCAAACAAACACAGTTACAAATTACATAATACCAAACATTCACTAAAAACATGCATGAAATCAATCAGACTCATCTTCTTCTATTACTTCGTCACCATCGCCGTCGTCTTCCGCCAAATCGTCATCATCTGTTTCAGCAAACTCATCATCACCTTCTTCTTCTGTATCATCGGGAAGATCTTCAACTTGCCTGTTCTGAAGGTCAATTATGAAATCTCCTCATCAACATCTGGTTCAGTCAGATCTACGCAAGTGTCCTGTTGCAGTGGAACATCCTCAACCCCTACAATATTGCCCCTCCGAGCCACTTTAACTACTGCTAACCATGAGATTCCTGTTGATCGAACTCGGGGGTATGGCAGAAATGTGACCTGTTCCGCTTGAGAAGCTAATATAAATGGCTCAAACCTGTTGTACCGTCGTGATTTGTTCACGTCAACAACTCCAAACTTGTTTAGACGTACCCCTCTTCCAACAGTTGGATCAAACCAATCACATTTGAAGAGAACAGTTTTCAGCCTTAACAATCCAGGATACTTCACTTCAATTATTTCTAACAGAACTCTATAAAAATCTATTTCACCCCTCACACAAACTCCATATTTAGTTGTCGCCCGCTTTGCACCGTGACAGTATGTGTGAAAAACCATGTTGAAGTTATTTTTTCCATCGGACCTAGTAGTAACTCATGGAACCATGTTGAAGATTCATCCGGATCATTCGGGTCCACCTAATTTCAGATTGATAAAGCCGTTTCAACCTATCAGTTATGTGGAGATACCACATACGTTGGTACGGTATCCTTTTACGCCCACCAGTTTGCGGCCTGTATCTTGGTTTTTGGCAAAATCGACATTCCTCCAGCTGATCATCATCTTTCCAAAAAATCATGCAATTGTCAACACATACATCTATCATCTCAGAAGGTAGACCAAGACTAAAAATCAACTTTTGTATTTCATAGTATGTTTCTGCTGCCAAGTTATCCTCCAGCAGATACTCTTTCAGAAGATCAGCCCAATCATCCATGCAAACCTCAGGCAGGTTATGATCTGTTTTAATTGACATCATCCTAGCTGCCAACAATAATTTAGACAGACCTTCTCTACATCCTTCGTAGATTGGCTGATTAGCATTGTCTAACAAATCATAAAATCGTTTGGCATCTACATTAGGTTCCTCAACAGCATTACCAGTATGCGTTTCATGAAATGCATCAGTCACCATCTCATGCATCCTATCATGATCTAGACTTTGATCAGATTGATACTGATTAGGCTGATGACCATAATTCGATTCATCAAAATCAACATGACTTTGATAATTACTACTACTACCAGCATTTCCATGAGTATTACTGCCATATCCTTCTCCATGTAGATACCAAACAAAATATTGCGGCATAAACCCTCTATTTAATAAATGCATCCACACGGTTTTGGTTAGTGTATACCTCGTATTCTTGCATTTCAAACAAGGACAAAACATCTTCCCATTATCTTTCGTTCTCTCCATATTTGTGGCCAGATACATGAATATTTCTAACCCGTTCTTGAATTCTTCTGTCAACGCCCCATCTGAATCTTTACGCATATACATCCAGTTTCTTAGCTCGTATATAGACATCTTGAAATAAACTCGAAAATACTATCTCTTTTTATGGATTAGACAATAAAAGAGACGGTCTAGACAATAAAAGAGACGGTCTCTTGTGTCAAGTGTAGCCACGTGGATGGAGTAAACCTTTTAATATTATTACTTCTTTTTTCCAAAGAAATAACTACTAATTCGGGTTTCCAGCAATTGACAACCCAATATATTAGGATTTACAACACTATACTAATGTTTATGAGACCTAAAATGGGTCTCCAGGATGTTGATGCTCTTATATTTGAATGATGATGTGTTGTGAATGAAAGAAGGAATGAAGATGTATTTATAACAAAATTTCGGACTTTACGACGCTTTTACGACGATTTTTTACATCACTTTTACATCCAACTTTCATATTACGACGATTTTACGTCGATTATGCGATAAAATATTTCATCGACATTAGTTAGGTAAACATGTTTTAAATGTTCTTCACCTACCTTCTTTGTCGACGTAAAATCATCGTAACTGTATATTGGATATGGATCGTCGTATATTCGTCGTAATGTTACATCCAATTTACGACGATTTTGCAATTAATATTAAATCTCTCTTTATCGATGTATAATCGTCGTAAAGAGTCGTAAATTATACATCGAAGTTACGACGATATTTTCTTACGATGGTTTTACGACGTTTTTTTTTCCACGTAAAATCGTCGTAAAATCATTGTATGTTTGCGACGATTTTTAAACCATCGTAACGGACCGTTGGAAAACGATTGTTTTCTTGTAGTGTCAAGCCTTTATCAACAGGGCTCAGGTATGCATTTCTTGGCTCTAACTCATCTTGCTCTGTGATCATAAATGAAAGTTTACTAGCTCATGAAGAGAATGCCTTGTTGAATGAACTAAGGAAGTTTAGGAGAGCTATAGGCTATTCTTTAGCAGTTATTAGAGGAATTTCTCCTAGTGTATGCACCCACAGAATACACCTAGAAGACCAATCTATGTCCTGTATTGACCACCAAAGGAGACTTAACCCCAACCTGAAAGAGGTGGTTAAGAATGAGATACTTAAACTACTTGAGGTAGGGATTATTTATCCAATCTCTGACTCAATATGGGTGTCTCCTGTCCATGTGGTGCCCAAGAAGGGTGGTATTACAGTGGTAAAAACGATAGGGATGAGCTCATAGCTACTAGAACCATTACAGGTCATCCCATGTGCATAGACTATAGGAAACTAAATGCAGCATCAAGAAAGGATCACTTTCCTTTACCTTCCATTGATCAGATGTTAGAAAGGTTAGCTAATCATCCCTAATATTGTGTTCTTGATGGATACTTTGGGTTCTTTTGATCCCCATAGACCCAAGAGATCAAGAAAAAACAACATTTACATGTCCTTATGGCACATATGCCTATAGGAGAATGCCCTTTGGCTTGTGCAATGCACCAACTACCTTTCAAAGGTGCATGATGAACATTTTGTCTGATCTAATAGAAGATATGGTTGAGGTGTTCATGGATGATTTCTCAGTCTATGGACCCTCATTCTCTTCATGTTTGTCTAATCTTTCTCAGGTCTTCAGGAGATGTGAGGAAACAAGCCTTGTTCTGAATTTGGAAAAATGCCACTTCATGGTACAAGAAGGGATAGTGCTTGGACACAAGGTATCAGAGGCAGGCATTGAGGTGGATAAGGCAAAGGTAGAAGTGATGGTCAATCCAGAGTCTCCAAGCTCAGTTAAAGGGATGAGAAGCTTCTTGGGTCATGCAGGATTCTATAGGAGATTCATCAAGGATTTTTCTAAGATTGCAAGGCCATTGACAAGATTGCTGTGTAAGGATGTGGAGTTTCAGTTTGATGGTGAGTGTGAGGAGGCTATTCAAAGGATCAAGCAAGCTCTCATCAGTGTTCCCATTGTACAAGCACCTGATTGGAGTTTGCCTTTTGAGGTGATGACTGATGCCTCTGATTATGCTGTTGGTGCTGTGTAAGGATGATAATGGATTTTGAGATCCCTTTAGATGATTCATTGCCTGAAGAGAAGATCATGGCAATAAGAGCTTACATGGAGCTTGAGGAGGCTAAATCCATCAAGGAGATAAGCTTGCCTTGGTTTGTTGATATAGTGATCTACTTGTCTTGTGGTGTAGAGCCACCTGAGCTGAATGGATTTCAAAGAAAGAAGTTCTTCAAAGATGTGAAGAGGTATTTCTTGGATGAACCCTATCTCTATGTGCTTAACAAGGATCACTTGTATAGGAGATGCTTAGCTGATGAGGAGGTTCAAGGGGTTCTACAATAATGCCATGGGTCAGCTTATGGAGGACATCTAGGTGCTTTCAATACAGTTGCTAAAGCTCTTCAGTCAGGTTTTTGGTGGCCTAAAATGTTCAAGGATGCTCAAGGTGTGGTGTCTAGCTATGATGCTTGTCAAAGACAAGGAAACATCTCCAAGAGGAATGAAATGCCACAAAATCCTATTATTGAAGTGGAGGTGTTTGATTGTTGGGGAATTGATTTCATGGAACCATTTGTCTCATCTCATGGAAATCAATATATCCTTGTTGCTGTGGACTATGTGTCCAAGTGGGTGGAAGCCATTGCAAGCCCTATCAATGACTCCAAAGTGGTTTGTAAACTGTTCAAGAGCATAATCTTCCCAAGGTTTGGTATCCCAAGAGTTATGATCAGTGATGGTGGGACTCATTTTGTGAACAAGACTTTGGAAGGTTTTGCTAAAGCATGGGGTTAAGCATAAGATAGTAAGTCCATATCATCCCCAAAACAGTGGCCAAGTGCAGACCTCCAACAAACAGATAAAAGCAATTCTTGAAAGGACTGTGAGTGCATCTAGAAAAGATTGGTCCATGAAATTAGATGATTCTCTATGGGCTTATAGAACTGCTTTCAAAACCCCTATTAGAACCTCACCTTTTAATCTTCTATATGGGAAAAGCTGCCATCTACCAGTTGAGCTAGAGTACAAAGGTTTGTGGGCTTTCAAGTTGCTTAACTTTGACATTAAAACTGCTAAAGAGAAGAGACTTCTACAACTTCATGAGTTGGAAGAGATCAGGCTCAATGCCTCTGAGAGTTCTAAGATCTACAAAGAAAGAACAAAGACTCTCCATGATCAGTAGATTCTCAAAAGGGAACTCAAGGAAAGAGATCTTGTTCTCTTGTTCAACTCTAGACTCAAGCTATTTCCAGGGAAGCTAAAGTCTAGATGGTCAGGCCCATTCAAGAACTTGAAGTAAGAGACTATGGAGCCACTGTGCTTGAAGGCAAGGATGGGAATGGATTTGTGGTAAATGGACAAAGGGTAAAGCATTATCTGGTTTCTGAAATGAAAGAGGGAGCTTCATCAGTTCCTCTTCATGATCCACAATCCTCTTGAAAGGTATGAAAAGTCCAACTTAGAGACTTAAAACAAAGTGTTCTTGGGAGACTCCCCAAGCTTATCCTTGTAAATATTTTTTCCTTTGATCTTTTTTATGTTTTTGGAATGTTTTGAGGTTTTTGTTGAGTTGTCTCAGGTTTAGGAAGTGATCTTGCTTGATAGCTCGAAGGAACAGGTGTTGGAAACAGTTTTGAAGGGGTCGGTTTTGGGTTTAAGGATAAACGGCTTGTAACCTCGGCATAGATGCCTCGGTTAGGCTATACCGAGGCCTGGCTACCGAATAAAAAGGTTTGGACCTCGAGGTACTACCTCGTGATGTCCTCGGCCGAGACCAAGGATTTAGCTCTGGAGCCCAAGTATAAGAAATGGCCTCGATACAAAGGACTCGGTACAAGGTTATGCTGCAGTGCCTGTGATATTCACCGATCAAAATGTTCAAAACCTCGAGCATTTACCTCGTCTTGACCTATACCGAGGCATTAAGATGTTCTTCCAGAGACTAAGTGTTATGGGATTGCCTCGGTATAAAGTATTTGGTACAGTTATGCCGAGGTAAATTTTCCGAGCAAAATGATCAATACCTCGACCAAATACCTCGAGGTGGTGCTTACCGAGGGGTTCTTGATCGTTTAAAATGTTTAGACCTTAGTTAATTGCCTCGAAGAGAGTTTAGTCGAGGTGTTCTTCATTTATGCCGAGGTGTCTGTGCCATGAACCCAGAAAACCAAGCACCTCGGCATAAACCCCTCGCCATAGCCATGCTAAGGTGCTGGTGAAAGTGCATGAACAAAAGAGGTCACTCGGGACACTTGGGTCAAAAGAGAAGGTTCAGTGGTCAAAGCTGGGAATCTGATGTGTTGTGTGGTTAGGGTTGTCAAGGTTTACCCTAAATGAAATCAATAGCCGCAAGTGCACAACTGATCGATTGTAGTACTTAGGGATCGAATCCACAGGGAAGGAGGATCTTTCCTGCAAAAGTTTTCGAAAGAAATATGAAGTAAGGAAGTCTAGAACCAGGCGAGTTTTGTGAGGGTTTTGGTGGTGTGTTTAAAACGTAAAACGAATCTTAAAGAGAAAATACGGTAATTAAAATAACCTAATAACTAAACTTAACAAAAACGAGTAAAAACGGAAAAACGGCTAAACCTAATTGCTTAAATGAAAATCGATTGAAAGAGTAAAGATACTAGACTAAAGCTTGAATGAAAATCGGTGTAAATCTATAGAAAAGAAGGCGCTGGGGTTCAGGGAAGTTTTCTCAGGGGTATGAACGATTCAAAACATAGCTAAAGAGTAAATTTGATAAAATCTTAGCTTAAACTTTTCGAACTGGAGTCACGGACGTATGAATACGCCACTGTTGTGATCATAGACAACTATCTCTCTCAACCCTGACAAGTAGGTTTCCAATCTGGCCCTGGAAAAGAAGATGTGCATTATTTTTAAGACTCGTCGGCATTCACAAATCGCCCATAGGTAGGTTTCCACTCCTATGTTTGTTTTGCTCACCCAAACTAGATCTGACACCGGATGAACACTTTTGTGTCACCAAGCATCTGGATCAGATTGTAGTTCATGACGCTACTCTCATGCAATAAAAACGAATTCAGAAGAAAAAGTTCTAAGATTCGGCTCAATAGCTCATGGAATCCTCATCGAACACATATATCCCCATCGAAAATCCCTTAGACCCAACAATAAAACTACTCAGACATGATAAACGAAATCAAAAACATAGTACTAAAAAGTAGTACAGAAACCGAAATTGAAAAAGAAAGAACAAGGGTTCAAGAGATAGATCTCTCTCTCCCTAAAACCTATAAACAAAG